ATTCGGCCTTGAAAACGGCTTGATACATGACCCTGACAATCATCTGAGGAAACACAGCTACAGCAGATCACGGATTCCGCCCTGCCTCGTTGGCAGGGGGCATATAACAAACAAAAGAGAAATAAAAAAAAGAAAACAACAAGTTCAGAATATGACCGTATTTGTTGTAAGATGCATTCAACACTGTGAGCACGGCCTCCTGGACTACCCTGCCTGACATCATTGCAGTACAAAAACCTTTTTTTTTTCAATTTTCTTTCGTGCACGGGCAAAAGAAAAATATGATTTTTGGGACATCGCCGCCCCTGTGTCCGAACCCCGAAAACTTCGGGTACTGGCCAGCATCTCGTATTTTCCCAACACTGAGGAAGGTACTGGTGGTTTAAGCTAGGAGTTTAGGCACCTTCTAGATTTTTCTGCGCGGCGCTCCCACGCCTTGCCGCGGCAAGATTTGGGTTCTGACTTCTTTTTGCGCCTCCATATTGCACGCAACTGTAATTTTCTTGTTCTTGATGTCCTTCATGTTCCTCCCTCTTCTTGCCCTGCGCTCGTCCGCGCATGCACACCTTCTTCCCCGACCTGATTGGTTCCTATGTCTGCATGACCGGATCGATGCACGGAGAGTGACTTTCTCCCCCACGCCGCGTCCCAAACATGTAGACGTAGGCACTTCCTCTCTTCTCCTTCTCATCACTTGGGGCTAATCCCGTACCCCTCGCACAAGCATGCACGCTATAAATTTCGTAAGCACGATTGGCTCTCTAAGAATTTCGAGGTTAGCGTGATCAGTGAGGGTCGGCTAACGAGCAAGTTGGGAAGGTAATTGAGTGCGAGAGTTGGGCGATCCGACGAGCTGGTGTCGGGTATGCGGGGTTGACGTGCGGGGCCGAGACGGACTATGGCGCATGGGCGAGCCTAGCTTGCATGCTTGAACCAAGCGGGGTGACAACTCTGCGTTGATATACGGCGACGGACTGCCGGTATCGGGAACAGAGAGAGAGAGAGAGAGAGAG